TCACCTTGACGGCCTCGATGCGCTCGGCGTCGCGCGTACTCAGCCCCAACAGCGTTTGGCCATTCAGGCGGACCTCGCGATCGGCCTCGGACGCGACCAGCATGAGGTCCGCCTCCGACCGGCCCTTGGCCAGTAGGGCCTGGCGGTTTTCCTCGGAGCCCATCAGCAGATCGCCCGGGAAAGGGCACTCGACGGGGATGGTGGCCAGCCGAATGCTCGGTCTGCACGCGGCCGACCCCTGCACCGCGTGGTTGAGGATGCGATGGCTGGTCGTGACCGCGGCAGGCGTATTGAACAGCATGTGGAGGCGATGCATTCTTTTTGGATGCCGCCAAGGCGGAGTTCGGCCGGGAGCGCGGAGAGCACATGGGGGATGGTCAGCAAACAAGACGACAGCCACGCAGGGGCATGGGCATGTAGACATTCACGCGGGCAGAGGCACATGCGCCCACATATATAAATATATATATATGTGTGTGTGTGTGTGTGTGTGTGTGTGTGTGTGTGTGTCCCCGCACCGACACACACACCCACACGGTCAAACAGAAAGAAAGGCAGAAAAATGATGCGCGAGGATCCAGCGAAGAAGGGACTCATACCGCAAGGTCGAGGGGGACACCTCGCACACGCCCAGCGACAATGCCGGCCGGACCATGCGCAGGAGCTTGGCCGGGCCGAGGGGCATCTCATCCAGCTCGCCGCCAGCACCGGGGGCCCGGCCAAGGCAGCCGGCTACCCGTGCGGCCGCCTCCATTGGCGTGTCGGCTCGCGTGATGATGATTTGGTCGCGCTCGCGATCGGCATACAGCGATCCGATGACCACTGCTCCGAGGAAGGCCCCGGTGATGAATGCAAAGGCCAGCAGGGCCGGCAGCCCGCGGCGTAACCTCATGGCGAGGCGATCGGGTGCGGCGAGTCGGGCACCACAAGGCTAACCTGGCCAGAACACGGAGGTGAAGGAGGGAAAGGGCAGACGAACGCCAGGCGGGCCCCTGGTGCTGGGACATATGCACACGCAGTGCGAGCAAGAGCAGGGCTAGGATCGCGCAAGAGGAGAGAAGGGATCGTGTTCCCAGCTCTTGAACAATGAGAGCCGCATCATGGGGGCCCTTTTTTTCCCTTTGCCCAGGCTGGCCAGCAGCTGGAACGTGTGTGTCGCCCGCCCCCGCTCCCCCCCCCCCTCCCCCCGGATTTCCTGTCCGGCCGAGGGGCAAACACTCCGCGGGCCGCCCATGGCAGCCGATCATCACCCCGGGGAGGTGCTCCCGTCCCCCGGCTCAGCTCCTGCACCCCCTCTTCCCCGCCATGACTGGGGGGCATGCGAGACCCCCTTGCCCGCCCATGGGGGGGGGTCAGGTGCAGGGCCGCGCCGAGCGGGTGGGCTGGAATTAATATGCTGCGCAGCCGCCACCAGTGTGACCACAACGCGTGCTCGGCCCTCGCCTGGAGAAACCCCACAATGCAGACAACGCAAATGGTTCCTTTCGCGGTGAACCGGGCAGGCAGGGCCATGGGATCGAGCGGCCAGACGCCAACCCCTGGACCGAGGGGACAGGCCATTTTGCCGGGCTTCCTGTGAGGAACCCCGCTGCCTGCCGCTCGACACTCCCAGGGTGATGTCCTTCGTGAGGGCAAGCCGCTCACGGCAAGCCCCCCCCCCCCCCCCCCCCCACACACACACATACATACACACATGTATCTATGTATATATATTTATCTACGCCTGCGCACAAACATATACAAATGGTCCGGCCCGCCCATACATACGGCTTCCCAGATTCAGGCAGATCGGCGATCGATCCTGGCCCATTCCAACAAAAGAAACAAGTGCTGTGCTCGCTGGCGAGGCGATCATGTCCTCGGTCCCATCGGTATCCATTGCTCCCCTGTCAGGATTTGCCTATGTACCAGCGCCATCGGCGGTCCCCCCCGCGGCCGCGGCACCCGAACTTCAGATAACGTGGCGCGATGGGAGAGCCAGGAGAAGGGGCCCGCCACCAGTGGTATGCGCAAGTAGCCCCCCCCCCCCCCCACACACACACATACAGGAGGACCTGATTTTGTTTGTCCTCCTCCCGTCACACGCGCAGACTTGGCTGGTTTCTTCCCGGCGCCCCTTGTCCCTTCCCCCTTTGCTGCCCCCCCCCCTTCCCCTTCTCTTCTTCTTCTTCTCCTCCTCCTCCGGGGGCCGGCCTGGTGGGATGCGCAATTTTGCTCGCGGCAGAGGACAGGCATATGTGCCTTGCCCGGGCTGCCTTCCTCGGGGCTCGACACCCCCCCTCCCTCCGTTTCCGAGCGCGTGCTTCGCACACAACACCGGGCGCATTTTGACCCCCCCCCCTCCCCGGTCTTTCTTATCCTCGCCTCTCCATATGTCGAATAGAGTCGCAAGACAAGCACGAGCACATTCATGGGGGTTCCCGCCTCCAACTGGCGTTATGACCGGGGGGGGGGGAGGCTAAAACACACGCCGACATACACACACCGACGCATGTGAAGGTACAGACACACGGACACACACAAGCACACACAAGCACACACAAACGGCACTTACACACGGGATATGCAGGCGACAATGCGGCGCCAAGGTAGACGGGGATTTGACCGTGAAAAAGAGACGGTCGCGGGCCGTGCCTGTCGTTCGGTGACCCAAAATGAGGTCCCCTCCGCCCCCCATGTGCTGTCTTCTACTTCTTCCTCTTCTACTTCCTCTTCTTCCTTCTGCTCTTTTCCCCCGCCTCCTCAATCGCCCCCTCCCCGGGGCTGGTTTCATTTGCCTGTCGGCTCCTCTCCGGGGGATGACGTGACCACCGGTCACTGGTATTGGCCGAGGACGAGACAACGGGATTGGAAGGAAAAATAAAATAAAAAGAAACTGGACAAAATAAAAAAACACCACCCCCACCCCCACCGGCTTAGGGGGAATGCCATGAAAAGGGCCCCGGGCTCGGGCTCGGGCCTTCGTACTCAGCAGTGGTAGCGCCCCTGAGGGGGGGGGGGGGGGGTGTGGAGGACGTGCGGAATAAAGAAAGATAAATGAGGCCACCAGGGCGGCCGGCGGCGGGCCGAGTTAACCGGCGCTCGGGTGGGCCGGCCCGATTCGAGGCCCCGGGTTACAACGCCAAAGGGGAAGTGTGGGGTAAAGTCCCTATCAGCATCTTCTGATCACCCGGTTCGGGGCGTTTCACCTGATCCGGGAAAGGCGGTGCGGGTCGGAGGCCCGGGGTGTTCGTGCTGGGCCCCGACAAAAGTGGCGCCCCAGTTTTCGGGGATGGTGGCGATGGATTGGGCTATTATTTTGGAAATGACAAGCCGGAGGCCGATGTGGCCAAATTTCCCCTCGGGGCTCCTCCGGGCATTTTTTCCCAGTCACCCTCTCTCCCGGGCAGGCAGACGCCGCCGCCGGCCGCCCCCCGGCCCGAGCTAAAGGCGAAGTCGTCTTGTTGAGGCGTCTGCTGGCCAGACGGCCGACGCGCGCGGCTCACCGTCAGCCAGGCATGTGGGGCCGCTCTGATGTGGGGGGGGGGGGGCCTCTTTCGTGCGGAGCGTGCGAATCCTCGCACCGAAGGGCGCGCACCCCATAAAACAGCCATCCTGGGTTGCCTTTCTTCGCGGCCCGGCGCCAGGGTTTCCGAGGGCTCTTTCCCTCGCAGCACGGTGGTGCAGGCCGCGTTGGCGCGCGGCTTGTTCGGGGCGCGGTTCGCTCGGGGCACGGCTCCCCGGCCGCGCCCCCCGGGCTGCCTCCTTGGTGCGGCAGCAGCCGCGCCAGCAGCGGTGGCAGCGGCACAGCGACAACCGCGGGGGAGGTCCGGAGGGGGCCTCGAGGCCGGATCTCCGAGCGGGCAGAGTCCCCCGCCCCCCCCCCCCCTGCCGGGTCAGGTGCGCGAGGCCCCTGCGCCCGAGCATGTGTGCCGCGCTTCCTGCAACTAATATTATCCATTTGCCGGGGGCGGGAGCCGGGGCAGACCTCTCTCGCGCGCGCGCGCGCGGGAACGGCCCTACTGCCGGCGGAGACATTCGTGCATGGCGTAGGCTCGAACAATTGGCGCCACTATTCCGGTCCTCTGGGCCTGCTGGGGACGCGGCGCGGGGCGCAAAGAGTCCCCTCTTACCGCGGGGCGGGGGGCGGTGCCCCCCTTCCTCCCGGGGGTGCCCGCCTCCCTGTGCCCCGACGCCCGGACCCTCCGGCCCCGGACCACCACCACCAAGTTGGTCTCGCATTTCCCAGCGGTATTCTTCCCAAGGGGTGTGAGAACTACACGCGCTGCCCGAGGCCGGGGGTTTCGTGGACAGACGGCGTGCCTTGCCTGTGTCCCACTCCCCTGGCCCTTGGCTCTGATGCGCGGTTGCTGGCCTCTCTCTCTCTCGGCCTCCGCCCCACGGCCGCGGCCGAAGTACGGGCACTGGGCAGGCTGCCCGGCGGGAGCGGGCGCCGCCCGGACCCCGCCCACCGGCGCAGGCCGCCAGCCCAGCCTGAGGTCCCAGCACGTCAGTGGTTTCGGGCTTTTTGAGCTGCCAAGGGTCGGCCTGGCCGCGTCTCATTCACGACCTTTCAGCTGAGCGTGAATTCGCTGACAGTATGTAAGCAACACCCCGGGGCCGGGCGGGGGGGGGGGGGAAGCCCCGAGGATGTGGTGTATCCTTCGCCCCGGGTCCGCGGTAAATATATTGCCGGCTCCTGTGAGCACCGGATGCGCAACAAGGGGGGTTCTCCGCGTCCCCACCCTGCCGCCCCTTCCCCATCTCGGCTCGCCCCGGGAGCCGGGGCGGCGGGGGGGGATGTCCGGTCCCCCTCCGGCGCAGGCGCCCCCGGCTGCGCATCGGTCTGCCGGGGAGTGCCGGCGGGTGGTCAGCCGTGGGCGGCTGGGCCCCACCGCACGGGTCGCTGCCCTGTGTCCGTGCCCCCCCCCCCCC